AAAAACTTATTTGGTAACTAATCACTGCACGCACACACACACAGTAGCAGCAGCAGCAGAAGACTACATATCATTTACAGAGCTTAAACTAATAAATGCATAAGAATTAACATAATTGTTTGGATTTTTAAGTACATCAATGAAGTATGTCATATATCCAAATTGTAAGAACTGAAAACATCAGCTTCAGTTCATAGGTTCCTGTGTATTCGAAACACTCATTCAACAGCAAAAGAGTATTTAAAGGATCTTATTGACAGAAATCTTATCGTAGGCCATAAATGGTGGAGCGGAGGAAGAATGGGGTACTGCACCATTCGTAATCTCTTGAGGGACCTATGCGTAAAAGAAGCCCAGAAAAGAATACTAAATCTCAAAATATTGAAAATGAACTATTATCTCTTTGAATCACAAAATAACCATTGCCTAGTTAACTTTTTGTCTACTGAAAAATTACATAAAAAGAAACAACGCGAATACACATACCGAGATCTGTACCGGTGCCACATTTTATGATATTGATCCAAGGTACCAAAATTTAACAAGTGGTTTCTAAAGCATCTGTAATATAACTTGTATTGTATCCACTTTAGTAGCAAAGTTACGTTATCACTTTTCATCAAATTTAATTGCTTTAGTTTTTATGCTTTTATCAAACAATCCAGTTAAGTACAAATATCTCTTTGTTTCATTTGGTTCAGTTTCCAAGATCTTCAGCAAAAGATTCCTCATTTTCAATTCAGTCAAGGAGCCAAGCATAACTATCATTAACAATATATGAAGGTTTCAGACCATCATGATTTGCATTATTTCTTCATATTTTGAAATTTATAAAACTATATTGTAAGATGAAGCTAGTGTTGAGTTTAGTCAAATTAATGCTGCTGAACATGTGAATACATTAATTTCTTGGCTGCTGCACATGTGAACATCAAATGTGGCTGCTGAACAAATGCAGCCTTTGTGGACAAATGATGCATTCTTCATTCTATAAATAGAGGAGCAGATTCGGATGAAAAAAAACACCACAACAAAATACCAAACACAAAAGAAAAACATAAGAGAAGAGAAAGAGAGAGCGAGCTAATAAAAATTTAGCTTATGTGTGTATTTGAGTTGTGAGTTGTGAGTGAGTTTGAGAGTGTTTTGTAAACACGAGTGTATTTCTTTTTCCCAATAAAATATCTGCAGTAGTCCGGAGACGTAGGCATTATTGGCCGAACTCCGTTATCAAATTGGTGTGTCCAATTTTTATTTTTTTATTTTTTATTTCACTTTTATAGATCCGACTTCATGGAAAATTCAGCGCATTTTTCCCAACAACTGGTATCAGAGCCAGATTGTTAATTCTGTATTTTTTGTGTGGTGTTACTATTCCGTTGAAAAACGTGAATAGTACCAATTTTGTCGGCGCTACAATTTATCTACCGACGTGTTTTGAAACACGGTAGTTCACAAAAATTACAGAAACGATCCGGCAGAGAAGTCAGATCAGAGTCGAAGTGATGGCTGCAGACGAAGGAAAAATGAAAATTGAAAAGTTCGATGGTGCGGACTTTGGCTTTTGGAAGATGCAAATCGAGGATTATCTGTACCAAAAGAATATGTATCAACCACTCACAGGAAAGAAGCCAGAGGACATGAAGGAGGATGAATGGAGTCTCCTTGACAGACAAGCTCTTGGAGCCATCCGGCTGACGTTATCCCGTAATGTTGCTTTTAACATTGCAAAAGAAAAGACGACAGCAAGCCTCATGAAGGCTCTTTCCAACATGTACGAGAAACCATCAGCCTCAAATAAAGTTCATTTGATGAGGCGATTGTTCAACCTTCGGATGACCGAAGGTGCTTCGGTGGCACATCATCTCAATGAGCTCAACACCGTCACAACCCAGTTGAGTTCAGTTGAGATCGAGTTCGATGATGAAGTACGGGCTTTAATACTTTTGTCTTCCCTACCAGAAAGTTGGAATGCTACGGTCACGGCTGTGAGTAGCTCATCGGGAAACAATAAGTTGAGATTTGATGATGTCCAAAATTTGGTTCTCAGTGAAGAGATCCGGCGGAGAGAGTCGGGTGAACCATCGACCTCTTCTGTATTGCATACAGAGTCAAGAGGAAGAAGTTCAACCAAAGAAAGCAGACACAACAAATCAAAAGGAAGAAGATCCAAGTCCAGAAATCATCGTAGTTCCCAAACCTCGAAGTCGATCGAGTGCTGGAATTGTGGGAAGACCGGGCACTACAAAAACCAGTGCAAGAGTGCACCGAAGGGTCAGGAGGCAAAAGAAGAAGCAAATGTTGCCTCATCCTCAGGAGGAGATATGCTGGTATGTTCTTTGGAGAACAGAGAAGAGTCTTGGGTGTTAGACTCTGGAGCATCCTTTCATGCTACCTCACAGAAAGAACTACTCGAAAATTATGTTCCTGGTAACCTTGGTAAAGTTTACCTTGGTAATGAGCAATCATGTGAGGTTGTAGGGAAAGGTGCAATAAAGATCAAGCTGAGCGGGTCTGTATGGGAATTGAAAAATGTTAGACATATTCCCGACCTGACGAAGAATTTAATCTCCGTGGGCCAGCTAGCCAGTGAAGGCTACACGACAATCTTCCATGGTGATGATTGGAAGATTTCAAAGGGTGCGATGACAATTGCTCGAGGCAAAAAGAGTGGTACTCTTTACAAGACCTCAGCAGCATGTCATCTGATTGCAGTTGCAGCAAATGAAAGTCCCAATCTATGGCACCAAAGACTTGGGCATATGAGTGAAAAAGGGATGAAGATCATTCACTCAAAAGGAAAATTACCAGGCCTCCAGTCAATAGAAATTGACATGTGTGAAGGTTGTATACTTGGAAAGCAGAAGAGAGTCAGCTTTCAAACAAGTAGAAGAACCCCAAAGAAGGAGAAGCTTGAGCTCGTCCACTCTGATGTTTGGGGTCCAACCACTGTCCCATCTGTTGGTGGGAAGCAATACTTCGTGACTTTTATCGATGATCACTCTAGAAAGGTATGGGTTTAATTTCTGAAACACAAGTCAGAAGTATTTGAAGCTTTCAAGATTTGGAAAGCTATGGTGGAAAATGAGACAGGCTTGAAGATCAAGAAGCTCAGATCCGACAATGGTGGTGAATATGTAACCACCAGATTCAAGAAGTTTTGCTATGAGCACGGGATCAGAATGGAGAGAACCGTGCCTGGTACGCCTCAACACAATGGTGTAGCTGAGCGTATGAATCGAACGTTGACTGAAAGAGCCAGAAGCTTGCGTGTACAGTCAGCCCTACCAAAGCAGTTCTGGGCAGAAGCAGTCAACACAGCAACTTACTTGATCAACCGAAGTCCATCGGTACCACTGGATCACAAGTTACCAGAAGAGGTATGGAGCGGAAAAGAAGTAAAACTCTCACATCTTAGAGTTTTTGGGTGTGTAGCATATGTGCACATCAGTGATCAAGGTAGAAACAAACTTGATCCAAAATCAAAGAAATGTACTTTCCTTGGTTATGGTGAAGATGAGTTTGGCTACCGCATATGGGATGATGAAAACAAAAAGATGATCCGCAGCAGAGATGTCATCTTTAATGAAAGAGTGATGTACAAGGACCGGCATAATACAGGTGCCAGCAACTCAGAAGCGAGTGGGCCAGTTTATGCTGAGGTGGAAGATATCCCAGACAGTCCTATAATGAGGAGTCCTCAGTCAGAGGAATCAAATGAAGAAAGTGATGTGCAATCAGAACCTCCTACTCCAGCTCCTGTATTGAGAAGGTCCTCTCGGCCCCATGTGCCTAACAGGAGATACATGGACTACATGCTGCTGACTGATGGAGGGGAGCCTGAAAGTTACATGGAAGCTTGTCAAACCACAGATGCTAGCAAGTGGGAGCTTGCCATGAAGGACGAGATGAAGTCCTTGATCTCAAATCAGACATGGGAACTAGTCAAGTTACCTATGGGAAAGAAAGCACTTCACAACAAATGGGTGTATCGGGTGAAGGAAGACCATGATGGTTCCAGGAGATACAAAGCCCGACTGGTTGTCAAAGGATTTCAGCAGAAAGAAGGAGTTGACTATACTGAAATCTTTGCTCCAGTTGTAAAGCTCAATACTATCAGGACTGTGTTAAGTATTGTGGCTAGTGAAGAGCTCTACCTAGAGCAATTAGACGTGAAGACTGCATTTCTTCACGGAGACCTAGATGAGGAGATCTATATGCACCAGCCTGAAGGATTTTCAGATGGAAAGAAGGATATGGTGTGCAAATTGAAGAAGAGCTTGTACGGCCTGAAACAAGCTCCAAGACAGTGGTATAGGAAGTTTGAAAACTTCATGCACAAGGAAGGTTTCCAGAAGTGCAATGCTGATCACTGTTGTTTCTTTAAGAAGTATGAGTCCAGCTATATCATCTTGCTACTTTATGTTGATGACATGTTGGTAGCAGGATCAGATATGAAAGACATCAGAAAATTGAAGATGCAGTTGTCAAAAGAATTTGACATGAAGGACTTAGGCCCAGCAAAGAAGATTCTTGGAATGCAAATCACGAGAGATAAGCAAAAAGGAGTTTTGCAGTTATCTCAGGCGGAGTACATCAACCGTGTTTTGCAAAGATTTAACATGGACAAGGCCAAACCAGTCAGTACACCTTTGGCCAGCCATTTTCGTCTATCCAAGGATCAGTCTCCTCAAACAAAAGAAGAAGAAGAGTTCATGGCTAAGATTCCTTATGCTTCAGCCATTGGAAGTTTGATGTACGCGATGGTCTGTACGAGGCCAGACATTGGCCATGCAGTGGGAGTTGTGAGCAGGTTTATGTCAAAACCAGGAAAAGCTCATTGGGAAGCAGTCAAATGGATTTTGAGATATCTACGGGGCACAACAGAAAAATGTCTGTACTTTAGAAAAGGAGATCTAAAGTTACAGGGCTACGTAGATGCAGACTTTGGAGGTGAAGTTGATCACCGAAGAAGCACCACCGGTTATGTTTTCACTGTCGGAGCTACAGCTGTTAGTTGGATGTCGCGGATACAAAAGATTGTTGCTCTATCCACTACAGAGGCTGAGTATGTAGCAGTGACAGAAGCCAGTAAAGAATTGATATGGCTTCAAGGATTGTTAGCAGAGTTGGGTTTCACTCAAAAAGAGAGTGTCTTGCACAGTGACAGTCAGAGTGCAATACATCTGGCAAAGAACTCAGTGTTTCACTCCAGAACTAAGCACATTGACATACGATATCATTTCATCAGATCTCTTCTCGAGGATGAAGTGTTGACTTTGAAAAAGATTGTAGGAAGCAAGAACCCAGCAGATATGCTAACGAAGGTGGTGACCATTGACAAACTGAAGTTGTGCTCAACTTCAGTTGGCTTGCTAGGATAAAAGACCTGAGAAGACTACTGCAGTAATTGAGGTGTGAGGACAGATTGAAATCAGTCCTCAAGTGGGAGATTGTTGAGTTTAGTCAAATTAATGCTGCTGAACATGTGAATACATTAATTTCTTGGCTGCTGCACATGTGAACATCAAATGTGGCTGCTGAACAAATGCAGCCTTTGTGGACAAATGATGCATTCTTCATTCTATAAATAGAGGAGCAGATTCGGATGAAAAAAAACACCACAACAAAATACCAAACACAAAAGAAAAACATAAGAGAAGAGAAAGAGAGAGCGAGCTAATAAAAATTTAGCTTATGTGTGTATTTGAGTTGTGAGTTGTGAGTGAGTTTGAGAGTGTTTTGTAAACACGAGTGTATTTCTTTTTCCCAATAAAATATCTGCAGTAGTCCGGAGACGTAGGCATTATTGGCCGAACTCCGTTATCAAATTGGTGTGTCCAATTTTTATTTTTTTATTTTTTATTTCACTTTTATAGATCCGACTTCATGGAAAATTCAACGTATTTTTCCCAACAGCTAGTGGGTATATATTTATATGCAAGTGTGCAAAAATATTGGTTAAATGGCATTGTTGGTCAAGAAAACAACAATTTGCAATATAAAACTTGGAGCAATGAGTTGTACCGAATCAAAGCGAAGAAGTAATCTTTCAAAAGCATTTCTTCTGAGTCTTGTTTTTTTTTCTCCACAAGCCTTTGAGAAAAATCAGTTTTCTTTGTTCATTTTGTATCAGTTCCCACCATATACTTAACTGATCAATGCATAAAAATTATGCATTGATATACAAAATTTATCGGTATGGGATCCGCAAGATATACAAAATTACGTTGTTTTATGTCTCTTTATTATTTTTATAGTGAAACGGTGTAGTTTAGGAGTGAGGTGTGGGTTTCGTTTGTGTAGGGTAAACCCGTCTGCATCAACTGCACGTACGATTTGAGATGATGAATGAGAACATGTTTCCAAATTATGTGATTTTCCTGTAAATTCTACACAAGAGACCAAGGAAAAAACAAATAAACATAATCCATGCCAAAGATCATAACCTTTTTTGTGATTTGATATGGCCCTCAAGAAAGAGTGCCTTGAACAACTAACAACGTCATTTAGAGAATGACCCTTAAGAAAGTATACTTCAGAAATGAAGCCAGAAAATTATAGTGGCCATAAGCTACTGTTGAAATCGTGTCGGTACCAAGGAAAGTCGTTAACAATATAACCGTGCTACTAACAGTTAGCAGTAATACAAACAAGAGGCACCAACATTTTTACTATATATTTACTATGCCATTGGAGTTTTTGTGTATGAACAATGTTTTTCTTTTTACTTCTTTTCCAAGGAGTACAGCCCTGGCAATCACATGACAAAGTATTATAAAAGATTATGTTCCATAAAAACAAAGCATTGCCAACACCAAATGATGCCAAATAGCTTTAAACCAACTGATCAACTCATAAACTCAGTTTATTAAAACCAAAAATTCCAACACAATCTTTCACAGGGTCTTCAAAGTCAAAATCCAACTCCTGGTACACTTCACTTAAAATCCATCCAAGAAAAACCTAAACCATAAATTCCTATAATACATAAAAGCAAGAGTAAAAACAACAGTAATAACGAGAAAAAGAAGAAAAAGAAAAAAAAGAACATAATAGGAAGTGAGGGAAAAGAACATGAATTAGGACAAAAACTGTATCAGAGCTTATTTGGGCGACGGTATCTGATTGTGATGGATGACATTTGGGATACGGACGCGTGGGATCGGGTGAAGCCCTTCTTTCCGGATAACAACAATGGTAGCAGAGTATTGATAACCACTAGGCTATTGACTGTGGCTTTGCAACTGGATGGCCCGGATTACATTCAGATGAGTTTTCTGAATCCTGAAAAAAGCTGGAAATTGCTGCGTAGGTGTGTTTTTCGGGAACAAGGGTGCCCTCCGGAACTAGAAGAGATTAGGGAGGACATTGCAAGGAACTGCAGAGGCCTTCCATTATCAATTGTCGTGATAGGAGGACTCCTAGCAAAGTCTGAACGAACACGAGAAAACTGGCAACACGTTGCAGAAAATTTAAGCTCGATTGTGAATTTAGAGGATGACGAGCGTTGCTTTAGAATATTGCAGTTGAGCTACAATCAACTTCCGTGCACCTGAAGCCGTGTTTTCTCTACATGGGCATGTTCCCGGAGGACCACAGGATTCACATCCCCACGCTCATCAAACTGTGGGTTGATGAAGGATTTGTGAAACCGGTGGCCGGTAAAAGCTTGGAATCAATTGCCAGAGAAGTGTACCTACATGGTCTCGTCATCAGAATCTTGATCTTGGTTCGTGAGTGGGGACCTACTCGAAGAATAAAACGGTGTGCCATCCACGATCTCCTAAGAGGCCTGTGCATAAAACAAGCCGAGAAATACAAATTCTTTCGCACGATTGAAACAACAACAACGCACAACAACCCTGAGCATCACGACCAAATTAGCTGGTGCACCCAACGCCGTATCGGCATTCACCAAGCAAAGAAATACATTCTCCGTTCACTCCCTGAAGCTGTGCAATCCGCATCAAGAGCGCAAGAAGCTGTGCAATCCGCATCAAGAGCGTGAACGCTGATATGGAACGTTGATGGAATTTTACCATCTGTAGTTACCTTTAGATTGATGAGGATTCTGAATGGATACGATAAATTAAATGGTCATGACCATAACTATTCTGGAAAAGAATTATTTCTTCCAGTCAACTTGTGCCATCTGGTTGCACCAAGGATTGAATTCCCTGTGGAAGTTTTAAACTGTCTCTGGAATTTACAGACGTTAATAGTTTTATTGGCCCATAGAAGGCCGGTGCTGGACATCTGGCGGATGCCCCAACTCAGGCACGTCAAGGTATGGAATCTCGAGCTGACGAACCCTCCACCTCCATTAATGGAAAATTTCGACAATGGTGATGGGATGGTGTTGGAGAATCTAGAGAGGCTTCAGTACGTATGGAACTTGAGGTTGGGTGAGGAAGTGGTTGAGAGAATCCCCAATATCACGAAGCTCGGAATAAGATACAACGAGATATTATCACCGCCCAATCACAATCTCGACAATCTCTGTAGGCTAAGTTGGAGTGCCTTTCAATTTTTTCAATACTCTCTCGACGAATTGAGGTGACGTCGTTCCCTGTTTCACTCAGGAAGCTGGATCTGTGGTTCACGTACCTCGGGTGGGATGAGATGGGGACAAAGATAGGGTCGTTGCCATATCTCGAGGCCCTCAAGCTATATGGCAATGCGTTCGTGGGGCCCGAGTGGGAAACAGCCGAGGGCGGATTCCCGAGTCTGAAATACTTGCAAATCTACTGCTGCAGCAGTCTGGAACAGTGGAAGGCAGACGCCACGCACTTCCCGCTACTCGAGCGGCTCGATCTGTGTCATCTAGACAAGCTGAAGGAGATCCCATTGGGAATAGGAGAAATAACCACGCTTAGGGTGATTAAGATGTGGAATTGTTCCGACTCAGCCGTGCTTTCTGCAAAGAAGATATTAGAGGAACAAGAGGAATGCCTTGGGGAAGTGGAGCTTCAGATTAGAGTTATGCTACTCCTTCAGACCCAACTACGAAAAGAGAGCTTAGCTTCCCTTGACAAATCTAACGAGAAAAGCTGTGAAGTTCGAATGGACGAATCGTTGTGAGGAGAGCTTCCAAGAGCTCAAGAAAACACTTACGACGACTCCAGTGGAGGAGTCGGAACTTAATTTTTTCTGATTATTCAACTTGACCAGTGTCTTGGGAAAAAGGGGCCTCAGCGTTCAGGTTCATTTTTTTTTCAGACAAAAATTTCAAATTATTTGGAATTACTGTTTTAAATTTGGTCTGCAACTTGTACAATTATAAATAGGGTCGTAAATTGATTTGTCTGTGCATGATGTGGAAAATATAAATATTTTGTACTTAGTCTCATAATCTTCAAAATTATAAATACCTTTATCTTTGTAACTATATTGTTCATGATCATCAAGTGCCATTGATTTTTTGCTAACGTGCAGTAAAATTATTTTGATATACGTGTTATTTAAATCCAAATTCATTCCATTTGTTAACATATTAACACTAATTTTGAAAATAGGACGGTCATAAACGGTCGATCACATTTATTTCATAACTTTTATGAAGAAATTATTCCAGGTTCAAGAGCCCAAAAAAAAAAAACCCTTGAGAGGCCGGCAAATTTGGTGTCATACAAATTTGGCATTGGTTGTGAATAACTTGATACAAGCAAACATGCCTTGACACAGTTGCCAATTTTTTCTTCATCCTGCTAAATTTGATTGCTTTTTATAGTTACTATCCAAAGTTCATTCCCTGAGAAACTGGGCAAATCACTTCCATATATAATTGTGCTGCATAAATATAATGAACCAAGTCAAACTCACAAGCAAACCAAAAGAATAGAAACGTTTAACTCAAACCTCAAGAGTACCATTTGTAGTTGACCAGTACAAAAAATCATACTAAGAACTCAGTGTATAAACTAGCATGGGATCTCGCAGAGTTATTCTTGATAAATGAAAACTGCTACTAGAAATTGTTTTGAATAGAACTCATAATTGCTCGCCCAGTCCATTTGAATATAATTTGAGGTCTACGGGTGAAGATGAAGCTACTGAGAACTTGAGGCGCGGAATTGTTTATTTCAAATAGCTTTGCAAGAATACCACTATAAAAGCCATTTAGAACCTGAAACTTCATTACATAGAGAACAGGCCCAAACAACTTGGGACTCGATAATACCACGACCAGCTACAATTTTTCCTCTCTGCACCATGTTATATTGATTTAAGTAACGTATTTTTGTCTTTCACAAAAAAAGTAAAATAAATAAAAGGACTTCGAATATGCTAATGACACTCTCATCTGAGATTATGAAACAACTAAAGAATGCAGGTGTATCGTCTTGGACAGACAAACAACTTCAATAATTTGGCATCGTTTATACTAGTCCTCAATAGTCGATTAGACATTATAATTCGTTGCTATTTTTATAGATTAAGTACAAATTATTCCATGAGCAGAATTATTGGTTATATGACATTATTGGTCAAGACAAGATGGGCTGCTCACTACCTGGTCCCAACTGGAAACTGACGTTCTACCTAATCTATCATTTACATTTCTCTCTTTCTTCTTCTTCTTCACCACAAGCCTTTAAGAAAAATATTCATACTTTCACTTCTTATCATACACTTTTCCTAACTATACCTGATTGGATTTCATTTATCAATGGCAGCTTATGGAGCTTTGCTTTCTCTTATGAACACCATACACCAAATCCAAAATCACCCTCGCCCTCCCATCTCCCTCGACAAACTGCAAATCGAACCTCTTATAGAAATGGTTACTTATTTGCTGCATTATATTGAAAACTATACCATTGATGATGCAGATGGCTTGGTGGAGCGTATGACCTATGCGGCTCGCGAAGCAGAGGATATAGTTGAGTCCTATATTGCGGATCATATTGAGGCTCGTGGGAAGGCTAACATCAGTTCGAAAAGCGGCTCCTCGTATCGATACATGAAGAAAAAGATACAAAAAACGACTCTTCATATAAATAACAGCAGCTTGTATCGAAACCTACAGAAAGTGATCCACGACTTGAGATTCATCACAAAAGACGTGGCTGCTATTAAAGACGAGGCGGGGGAAAATATTGCTCCTTCTAATGACGCCATGGTGGGTTCCGAATCCGATGATGATGTTATGAACAACATCATGGATAAGCTGAGCGTTCCTTATTCGGAGGGGGACGACACGATGGCGGGTGTCATGAACGACATCATGGATAAGCTGACCAATCAACAATCTAGCCGTTGGATCATCGCGATTACTGGCATGGGCGGCATTGGTAAGACCACTCTTACAAAACGAATTTACGAAAATCCACTTATTGTGGAACAATTTGATATTCGCGGATGGGCTACAGTCTCTCAAGAATTTGATTCGAAAAGGATTTTGTTACAAGTCCTTGACTGTTTGAAAAAAACTATGGGGAGTGAGGACAGTGAATATGAAGAATTAGGACAAAAACTGTATCAGAGCTTATACGGCCGACGGTATCTGATTGTGATGGATGACATTTGGGGTACGGACGCGTGGGATGGGGTGAAGCGCTTCTTTCCCGATAACAAAGACAGGAGCAAAGTGTTGTTAACCACTAGGCTATCGAATGTGGCTTTGCAGCTGGATGGCCCAGACTACTTCCAAATGCCTTTTCTGAAGGTGGACGAAAGTTGGAATCTGCTGCGTAGGTGTGTGTTTCAGAAACAACAAGGGTGCCCGTCGGAATTGGAAGAGATTGGGAAGGACATTGCCACGAATTGCGGAGGCCTTCCATTGTCAATTGTCGTGATCGGAGGACTCCTAGCAAAGTCTGAACGGACACGTGAAAACTGGCAACACGTTTTAGAAAATTTAAGCTCAATCGTGAATTTAGAGGAAGACGAGCGTTGCTTTAGAATACTAAAGTTGAGCTACAATCAACTGCCGGTCCACCTGAAGCCGTGTTTTCTCTACATGGGCATGTTCCCGGAGGACCACATGATTCACGTCCCCACGCTCCTCAAACTATGGGTTGATGAAGGATTCGTGAAAACGGTGGCCGGTAAAAGCTTGGAATCAATTGCCAGAGAAGTGTACCTACATGGTCTCGTCATTAGAAATCTAATCTTGGTTCGCGCGTGGGGCTGTACTCGAAGAATAAAACTATGTGGCATCCACGATCTCATGAGAGACCTATGCATAAAGGAAGCCCAGAAATACAAATTCTTCCGCACGACACAAAACCTTAATAATGTCCACGACAAAAGCTGGCGCAACCAACGCCGTATCGGCATTCACGAAGCCGGATCGAAGTGGTATGACATTCCCCCTCCACTTCCTAAAGATGTGCGATCCGCATCACGCGCAAGAACTCTGATATTTCAAGTCAATGGATGTATACCATCTATAGCTTCTTTTAGATTGCTTAGGGTTCTCAAAGGATTAGATAAATCATATTTTAGCTGCCATGCATATCCTGGACAAGATTTATTTCTTCCTGTCAACTTGTGCCACCTGGCTGCTGCCCGAGGGACTGAACAACTTCCTGTGGAAGTATTATACCGACTCTGGAATTTACGGACGTTAATACTTGACAAGTACTCAAGCTACGAATTTCGTGGGTCGGTGTTGGACATCTGGCGGATGCCCCAACTGAGGCAGGTCAAGGTATTCGATCTCCTTCTCACGGATCCTCCTCCTCTTCCTCCAATGGATGAAGAAAATGGTGATCGGATGGTGTTGCAGAATTTGGAAACGCTCAAGACCGTATATAACTTCAAGTGCAGTGAGGAATTGGTTGAGAGAATCCCCAATATCAAGAAGCTGGGAATATCGGGTGGTTATGGTCTGGACAATCTCTGTAGGCTACGCAAGCTGGAGGGCCTTTCAATTTCATACTCTTTATTGCGCTCTCGACCAATTGAGGTGAGGTCATTCCCTGTTTCACTCAGGAAGCTGACTCTGGAAGGCACGATGCTGGGGTGTGAGGAGATGGGGAGAAAGATAGGGTCGTTGCCATATCTCGAGGTCCTCAAGCTACACGAGATTGCGTTCGTGGGGGCCCCCGAGTGGGAAACAGCCGAGGGTGGATTCCCGAGCCTGAAATACTTGCAAATCAATTCGTGCCCTGATCTTGAAGAATGGAGGGCAGAGGCCACGCACTTCCCGCGTCTCGAGCGCCTCGACCTGTGGTATCTACACAATCTGAAGGAGATCCCATTGGGAATTGGGGAAATAACGACGCTTAGGGAGATTAGGGTTTCGAATTGTTCGGACTCAGCCGTGCTTTCTACAAAGAAGATATTAGAGGAACAAGAGGAGTGTTATGGGGATATGGAACTTCAGATTAGAGTTAGTCTATGCTATGATACCCAACTACAAAAAGAGAGCTTGAGGAGTCGGAACTTACATTTTTCTGATTTTCTGTAACTTATTATTGAGGAGTGTCCTGGGAACGAGGCGCTTCAGCCTTCAGGTTCATTTTTTTTAGACAAATATTTCAAATTATGTGAATTATTATTATTACTCTTTTAAATTTGGTCAGCAACTTGTACAATAAAAGATGGTGAAGAATCTATTATGATTGGTTTGGACTGTTGAAGGCTGCGTTTACTAAGTCAAATAAGCTAGCTTATAGTTTATTTAGTTAGCTTATAAGCTTCTTGTATTCAAATAAGTCTCGTTTGATAAGGCGAGCTTTTAAAAAGCTCGAGCTTATTTGATAAGCTTCTTTAAGTAGCTTTTCAAATAATCTAGTTGAATTTTTTATTGCAGCTAGCTTATCAGCTAATTTTACCAAATACTTTTATTATATAAGCTAGCTTTTTAGTTATAAGTGAAAAGCTATAAGTCATAAGCTAAAAAATTACTGACAAGTTATCAGCTAGCTTATCAGCTAATTTTACCAAACATAGCCTAAATAAGCTCATAATTTGATTTGTCTGTGCATAATATGGAAAATATATATATTCTGTAATTAGTCCAATTATCTTCAGAATTATATAAGCACCTTTTATCTTTGTAACTAAATTGTTCATGATCATCAAGTGCCATTGAGTTTTGTTCAGGTGCAGTAAATTATTTTAAATATACATGTTACTTAAATCCAAATCAATTCCATTTGTTAACAGATTATCAGTAATTTTTGGAAACAGGACCTTGTCGATCACATTTATTTCATAACTCAAGAGCCAAAAAAACCTTGAGAGGCAGGCAAATTTAGTGTCCTATATACAAATCTGGCATTGGTTGAGAATAACTGATACAAGCATTTGCCTCATCCTGCTAAATTTGATTGCTTCTCATAGTTACTATCCCAAGTTCATTCCATGAGCAACAGTCAGTTCACTTCTCATAGTTACTATCCCAAGTTCATTCCATGAGCAACAGTCAGTTAGTGAAGTATGTCATTTATCCACTATCAGTTAATACTAAATTAACAAGTCATCTATTAGCAATCAAATTATTTAAACAGGACGATGCATAAAATCAAATAAAATCATTTCGATTATTAAGTATCACGATGCCAAAGATTATGATATCTAGCATAATACCTCCATAACGAACAAGTAGAATTTGCCGAAAGAAAATGTCAGACATTTCGTTATGTAAAAATATCATCTAGCATCACACAGAGAGCATTTAGAATTTTCTTCACAGGCAATATGTACTGGACTTCCTTCAAGACAAGTGAAATTTAAATCAAAAATAGAAATGTCTAAGGTGAAAAAGTTAGTGGTTCTGTAATCCATTTGAGTACATGAAAGTGGCAGTAAAAAGTTAATGGTTTTGTAATCACTGCACACACACACAGCAGCAGCAGCAGCAGAGGACTACATATCATTTACGGAGCTTAAACTAATAAATGCATAAGAATTAACATAATTGTTTAGATTTTTAAGTACGTCAATGAAGTACGCCATATATCCAAATTGTAAGAACTGAAAACATCAGCTTCAGCTCATAGGTTCCAGTGTATCCGAAACACTCATTCGATAGCAAAAGAGTATTTAAAGGATCTTATTGACAGAAATCTTATCCTAGGCCATAAATGGTGAAGCGGAGGAAGAATGAGGTACCATCCATAATCTCTTGAGGGACCTATGTGTAAAAAAAGCCCAGAAAAAAATACTGGATCTCAAAATATTGAAAATGAACTATTGTCATTTTTAATTAGAAAATAACCATTGCCTAGTTAACTTTTTGTCTATTGAAAAATTACATTTAAAAAAAAAAAAAACGTGAATACTCATACCGAGATCTGTACCGGTGCCACATTTTATCATGTTGAACCTACGTAAAGTTACGTTATCACTGTTCATCAAATTTAATAGCTTGTAGTTTTTATGCTTTTATCAAACAATCCAGCTAAGTACAAATATCTCTTTGTTTCATTTGGATCAGTTTTGAAGATCTTCAGTAGAAGATTCCTCATTTTCAATTCAGTCAAAAGCCAACCATAACTATCATTAACAATATATGAAGGTTTCAGACCAACATGATTTCATGATTTGCGTTATTTCTTCATATTTTAAAATTTATAAAACTGTATCAGAGCTTATTTGGCAGACGGTATCTGATTGTGATGGATGACATTTGGGGCACGGTGGCGTGGGACAGAGTGAAGCCCTTCTTTCCGGATAACAACAATGGTAGCAGAGTATTGATAACAACTAGACTATTGAAAGTGGCTTTGCAACTGGATGGCCCGAATTACTTTCAGATGAGTTTTCTGAATCCTGAAAAAAGTTGGAAATTGTAAGGAAACCACTTCTTAAATTTTGGAATGTAGGTTGGAGAAGTTAGAGACACTCAAGACCGTATGTAACTAGATAATCTAGACAAGCTGAAGGAGATTCCATTGGGAATTGGGGAAATAACCACACTTAGAGAGATCGTTGTGTGGGATTGTCCGGGCTCTGTCGTGCTTTCTGCAAAGAAGATATTAAAGGAACAACAAGTTTGCCTTGGGGAAGTGGAGCTTCAGGTTGAAGTTATGCTAGATGACATTTTCATAAAACTAGGTGGAGAGAGGTTGAGGAGTCCCAACTTTAAAGTTTGGTGACAATTTGATTATATATTTCCACTTATAGTGAAACGGTGTTGTTTAGGAGTGACGTGTGTGTTTCTTTTGTGTAGGGTATAAAACCCGTCTGCATGAACTGCGCGTACGATTTGATATGACGAATGAGAACATGCTTCCAAATTTATGTGATTTTCCTGTAAATTCTACACAATAGACCAAGGAAAAAGTAAAACAAATAAACATAATCCATGCCAAAGATCATAATTTTTTTGTGATTAGAGATGGCCCTCAAGAAAGTATGCCTTGAACACACTAACAATGTGATTTAGAGAATCACCCTCAAGAAAGTATTACTTCAGAAAATGAATCCAGAAAACTACAGTGGCCATAAGCTACTGTTGAAATCGAGTCAGTTCCAAGGAAAGCCATTAACAATATAACCGTGCTACTAACAGCTACTAACAGTTAGCAGTAATACGAAGAAAAAGTTGACATAATATCACAGAGGCACCTGCATTTTAACTATATGTTTACTATGCCATTGGAGCTTTTGTGTATGAACAATGTTTTTCTTTTTTTTCCAAGGACAGTCCTGTTAATCACATCACAAAGTATTATACAAGATTATGTTCCATAAAAACAAGGCATTTTCCACACCAAATGATGTCAAAAAGCTTTAACGCAGCCGATCAACTCATAAACTCGGTTTATTAAAACCAAAAATTCCAACACAATCTTTCACAGATACAGGCTCTTCAAAGTCAAAATCCAACTCCTGGTACACTTCACTTCAAATCCATCCAGGAAAAATCTAAACCATAATTTCTAATAATACATAAAAGCTAGAGCAAAAACACCAATAATAACGGAAAAAGCAAGAACGACAACTACTGCAGCTCACCTGCCATGCTTGCATTAAAGGCTTAAAGCAACATGAAGAAGTACAAGAATGAAAACATGTCCCTTCTCAAGAATCCTTGCTGAGTAGATACTTCTTCAAGACATCCATAACCGACCCGAAATCTGCCTTCACCTGCACGGGCGGGTTTGCAAACCGACAAGCAATGTCCTTAATCTCCCCTGAATGATAATCAATCTTGGACTGAGTAAACTTCAGCCCGTGAGCCGTACTCACCACCACTGTCCTATCTGTGGGCCCAATAATCCCACTATTCCTCAACTTAATCAAAGCAGTCAAAGCCACACCAGTATGGGGGCAGATAAACATCCCGGTAGAATCCGCCTGTGCCATGGCATCCATCAACTCCTCCTCAGTTGCCTCCTCAACAATCCCATTTGAATTTTTCAAGGCATAAACAGCCCTATCAATAGAAACTGGGTCCCCAATCTGAATTGCCGAGGCAAAAGTAGTTCCAGCCTTAACGGCCTTAAAATCCTTCCAACCTGATTTGTAATACAAGTAAAGGGGATTAGCATTTGCAGCCTGCGCACAAACGAGCCTTGGGATCCTATCCACGAGCCCAAGCTCCTTGCACATGTTGAAGCCTTTGTAGAAGGCGTATATGTTGCCTAGATTTCCACCTGGAACAATCACCCAATCAGGCACCTGCCAGTCAAACTGCTGCAGAATTTCAATGGCGGCGGTTTTCTGGCCCTCGAGCCTTAAGCTGTTCAATGAATTGGCCAGGTAAATAGGTAGCTCAGCTGTGACCTCGCGAATCAACTGCATACAGCCGTCGAAATCAGTGTCAATGCTCAAAACAAATGCCCCATTTGCAATTGGCTGAACAAGCTGAGCAATTGAGATCCTATTGGCCGGCAGGAAAACAATGGACGGGATTCCAGCGGACGCACAGTAGGCAGATAAGGCGGCAGAAGTGTCACCAGTGGAGGCACAGCCAACGCCGACCACTGGACGGTTCATTTTACGGAGCCGGTTGACCTGGCTCACCAAGACGGTCATGCCCAGGTCCTTGAAGCTGCCGGTGTGGCTAATCCCGCAGTGTTTCACCCACAAATCGTTCATGCCTAGAAACTGTTTGCCAAAGCGCTCGGCCCAGAAAAGGTTGGAGTTCCCCTCGAAGGCGCTGACAATGTCGTCGCCGTCGATCTCGGGCAGGACCCACTCCTTCTTGGACCAGACGCCCGACCCGTACGGCCAGTTGGTCCTGCCCACGCGCGAGTCGAAGAGGGAGCGCCAGTAATCGCCGTCGAACTTGCGCAGCGCGTCCATGTCGTGTTGGACGTCGAGGAGGCCGCCGGAGCGGCTGCGGTACACGATCTCGTCGAGGGAGTAAGATTCGGTAGAGGATGGATCGGCGTTGAAGGGGACGTACTTGGCGGAGAACCCGTGAGACGACGAGGCGTAGCGACGGGCCTCGTCGCGGATGTTCTCGTCCACGGGGCGGCGATGCTTGAGCGGCGCCGCGGCGGCGGAGGGGGTGTCGGAGGAAGTGTCTGCGGCGCGGACGGTGAAGGTGGCATGGGGGGGTGCGCGGATGGCTGGGTTGCCATGGGACGGAGGCTGAGTTGAGAGAAATGAGGATCTGAAGATGGGAGGAGCCGCCGCCATTGTCGAGAGGGAGAGGTGAATGAATATGGGCTTGTGGGGGAGTGTGACTGAGAGTGGAAATCCGAATATGGATGAGATTGTCTCAAAATGAGAAATTTGTGGGCTGGGCTAGATGTTTTGGGCCCATATTACTTCATTTTCTTATTTGTAAATATATAAATAATATAAATTATTGTTTATCCATTATTTAATTTATTTTGAAATATGATTGGATCCAACATGACGAGATGAATTAAGAGCACCCACAATACTTTGGGTCTCTTACAAAAATATCATATGTCATATAAGAAATAGATTTAGTCTATTAAAAAATGGTTTCCAATGTAATCAAAAGTGGACTAGGTCTATCTTATGTGACAACCAAAAAACAAGACCAAATCCCCACTTGGTTCTATTTTCGACTCAAGTACAAACCTGACCAGTCAACATTTATTCTGAATTTATTTTTTCTCTTATTATAGAAAATAGTGATATGGCCATTAGTAAGGGTTCGCCTCAGACCGGTCTGATTCGGTCGTCATCGTTATGATGGGAAGATTGGCTAGGCGGCATACCAAGGAGTCACGTGCTAGGTAGGCGGGATCACTTAGGCAGCTGGACACCTCGGCACTTAGGCAGCTGGACACCTCGGCACCTAGGCAGCTGGATGCCTCGGCACCTGGGCAGTTCGGCCAGAGGGTTCTGCCGAGGCGACCGGGGCCCGGTGATGGCTTTGTGAACAAGTCGCGTGAAAGTTTGTAGTGATAAGGACTCTGACGTTCTGGGCATCTTTGACCTAATTTGTGGACAAGTATGAGGAAAAGACTTCTAGACCAACAAGAACTCTACGACATGTACAAGACCTCATCTATAAAAAGGGACAGGTTTATTCATTTTACATAACACACATACACATATTATCTTGTTACTCTGCCGTTTTCTCTTCGAAACACCACCACTGACTTGAGCGTCGGAGTGTCCACGCCGGGACCACCCCCGGCGTGTTTTGCAGGTACCGGCGATCGAGAAGGTTCAATTCGGTTCGAGAGGAGCGGTCGAGCGGTTCAAGTATTTGTGGTATAACAAATTGGCGCCGTCTGTGGGGAAACTCAGTCTTCTACCAGAGTATCATAGGCTGTTTTTTCTCACCAAAGAAGAAGGAAGGTAACGAGGATCATGGCAGGAAATAACTTGAAGAAAAACTTAACGAAGGATATGGATGAGGCGTGGACGAAGAGGGCTCTTGGAACAGGGCCGCCGCCCGGGTGGTCGCCGTCGCCTACTCCCCCCAAGGAGACGTTGACCCCGACACCTCCACCAGGAGCTCAAGGGCGTTCGGCGAACCCAGAGAAATCGGGTGGCTTGACCAACAAGGAAAAGGAACTCGGCGGTGCAACGAGTGGAGGAATCGGTCAGGTCGGCCAGGTTCCTGATGGGAACACGGGTCAGGTGACCCCGCTGAACAATCAACAAATGGTCTTGGCAGGAGAGACCACCCAACTGAACGATCAACAGATGGTCCTAGCAGGAGGAACTAACCCCCCAGGCGACTCCTCGACGGCAAGGGGAGAACAAACGATACATATGACGAGGGCGGAACTGGACAGGATCATAGCGGACGCAATAGGACGAGCTCAAGAGGTTGATCGACGAGCTAATGAGTCGCTAAGGCAGCCCATGCATCAGCAGTTGTCCTTGCACCCTCACCAGACGCACCAGCGCGAAAGGGGGGATGAGGATGGCGATAGGTCGGCGACATCTCGACCCCTGGTAGTACAGCAGGAGGGGTTAACTTTGGAGAGGTTGGCAGCTCAGATGCAGGAGCTCCAGGCTCGGGTACAAGGGAAAAGGGTGGTAGTGTCACGTGGACATCCGTTTGCAGAGGAAGTGTTGGGAGGAGATCTGCCAAGTAATTTCAGGGAACTGAGCTTATCCTATGATGGCTCGACAGACCCTGCTCGACACCTAAGGTCGTTTGACAATATAGCCGTCTTGCATCGTTATAGTGACGCAGTCAGCTGTCGGGCCTTCTTGACCACTTTAAAGGGCTCAGCACAGGATTGGTTCCACCAGCTGCCAGCAGGATCCATCGATAATTTTGAGAAGTTCAGCTCCTTGTTTTTGAATCAATTTGCAAGCGCTAGGAAGCATGAGAAGACATACCTCTCGCTGATTAATATGCAGCAGA